AAAGCAGGATCATCTACACTTTCATCTGCAGGATCGTTTCCCTGTCATTTAGCAGGGAGTCCTACCATGTAGCTGTTTCACTTGAATAACTATAATTTTTAACATCTCATGTGTCTTGCTAAGTTTACTGGGATCCAGCTGAAGATTTTCCACGTTGTGTAGTTTAGTGTTAGTGGCCTTCTCGAAGGATAACTGAGGCAATCTGATCTTCTGATGTCATCACAAGAGAAAATAGTGGCAGAAAGCAAAGAGAAATTTAGAGACTCAAAAAAAAAAACAACTCTATTTGACACTTGTCAGATGCATCACTAATATCTTGAAAGCTGCTAACTGAGTGTAGAGGTGAAGTGGCTAGGCAACAACTGAAAGGTCTAACATAGAATGGAGAAAGAATGGATATTAGTGGCTGGAGTTAGGGAAGCAACGTAATTTTATGGGGTGGAGAGAGAGAGCAGTAGTACAGAATTACTTATGTTGAAGGCTGGATACCAGATGAAGGGAATGTAAAGAAAAAAACTTGAAAGTGATTAAATGCAGTTTTGGAAAGCAACAATAACAAAATACTTCCAAATCATCAAAAAAGGAAAATAATGAAAGTAATAAAGCTAGAAAATAATGAGAGTACATTAAAAGACTAGGATTGAAGCTCAAAGTTGTATTGGCACATTTACAACATCAAAACTAGGAAATATTCTTAAGATATTTATTCCAAGGGCACCTGGAAATGTATGGTTAATAGTAAGGGTCATAGGGCCCTTGGGAAAAATAAATCAGGCTAGATTTCGTTTATTTCTCCCTTCTTTAGTCCAGGAAAAGAGTAGCAGTAGTCTAAATGTTTAGATTTTCAGGAAGCTTTGACGTATCTATGTGACTTTATCATTACTAAATCCTAAATATCATTTAGTAAGAAGCTTGTAGGTAAGCAGTAAACTGAAAATTCAAAAACCATTTTTGCAGGACACTTCCCACCTCCACTTGCCACAGTGTTCATGTGGCAACTAGTCCTTTTGACCGTGAGCCCTACTCAAGCAGAATTATGAGAGTTCCTAAAATGTTGATAACTCTGTGACTGGACCCGTGACATCTGATACTTGCCCCTTCTTTCAGAAGAGAAGAAGATCCAAGATGAGAAAACACGGTTTGGAGTTGCAGCGAGCAGACAGGCCCTGCAGCGAGCTATAGCCAGTGTATGGTAACAAAGAACTTTGATCCTAGAAGAATCAGAGCACAAGGGGACAGCTCCACTGCCTGCCCACAAGAGAACAAGGAGGCAGTATCTGCTTTTGGTGACCTCTGAGGCAGATGTGTAGGTAATTGGACTGAGAAGTCTGTAGAGGATGCAGAGCAGCAGCCACGGGATTGTCCAAATACTTCCAAGCTCAGATGTGATCATCCAGAAAATCACTGAAATGTTATTTGTTCTGATACTCGAGTAAGCTTAATTAATGAGGATGTCAACAGCTTTAAAAGAGGTACAGCAATCTGCTGCTTAGGTCAGTAAAAGGCTTGAATTGCATAAGTGAATCCCTGGAGCAGCAGTATTTCTAAAGCCTTTGCTGGTTTCTCAGATTGTCATATAGTTGAAATACCTCTTCTTGTATGTGGAAACTTCACAGAAGTGGCCTGAAGAGATGAAGGATAAATGCCAGACAGTTTGGCGTGATTTTTAGCAAGGGATGCCACTACAGAGTTGAATATTGTCTGTGATACAATTGATGGGTAAGAAAGCACAGAGGAATGTGTAACTGAGGGCTCCTTCTATGTAGATGTGTCTCAGGGTCTGAAGCTTGATCGAGGTCCTAAACATAGGACCTGCCTTTTGGAATCTCTTCCAGATTGGCAGTCCTTGGCAAAGAAATAATCAAGCTGCCAACTGTGTCTCAGAGGAGAGAACATAATTGCCCTTATAAATGTTTCAAGCTACTAGTATTGTGCTCCAGAGTCTAGCTGCTATTTGATTTTTTCATAATAGTATTGTCCTCTTGGGAAGGTGCCATCCTGCCTTCAGTTCTGCTTTTACCTTCTTGCTCAAACGGCAGCTAGTCAGAGAGGAGAGTCCCTGTCCTTCCCTTCTTCCCCTGCTTTTGATTAGGACAGGAATATTAAGATGATTACTGGGCTTTCTGGGAGACTGAGACAGCAGCCAGGATGCTCTTTGAGCAGCGATCCTTCCCTGTGCGAGGCCTCCTGTTCTCAGCCAACGATTATACTCTGTACTCCCTTCCTCAATTCTGTGTCTTAAAACTGCAAAAATCGGGCACTTTAACTTGTTAAGAAATTGCGTTCTGAGATATATTTGATCATCTCCTTACCATTTGTGAAGTAGTTTACAAGAGATTCAACAGGAACACATCCGTCAGCATCTGAGCAGTCTACAGAAACCCAGATAAATGAGCTGCCTTGGGCTCATATTCATTGAGGTGAAACTGCCATAAACCTGCCATGGTCTAGGGTGCCTTTTAGAAACCAGTCACATAGGGAGATGCTAGATATCTAAGATATATTTTGGAGAGGGGAAAGAAAAGAGAATTTATTTTTTCTGTTCTAAAGAAAGAAGGCCACTCTAAACTTCACAACAAAGCTTTTTTAGCCTCTCAAGACTGAAAACACTCCAGAAATAGCATTATGAAAAAAAAGATGAAAAAAAGGCAAAAACTGCTGAATTTTCTTTGGCTAGGCAGTCAGCATTGTGGACAGTCAGACTCTTGGAGCACTGACTAACCGCTTCCTCTTGCCTAGCAGACCTGAGAATTGAGGAAACATAGGAGAAAATGCACTGAGAACTTATCCACACTCCTTTCTTGGGCTTCCCTATCCCCAGAACAGGAAAGGATAAAGAAGAAGGATGAAGGCCCTATGACAGGCCCTGCTTTTACCTAAGAGTTAAAGCAAAAGGACGTGACATTTTAGCATGGGATGGTTGAGTTGTAGAAATGGACAGGAAATTGTAGGGTAGGTAGCAGAGCTGATGAAAAGGCAGATCTTGCTCAAGACTGTATCCAAATTCCTGCTTACCTTCTATCTCCATTCATGAGCTCTTGGAAAACCTTGGGGCTTATTAGTGCAAAACTGGATTCTGAAGTTCTGTTGAGAGCAGCTCATTGCCTAGAGGATTTAAGTTCCTTCAGTGTCTTACCTGTTCCATGCAAACCCAAAACTAATTCACCACAACAGCAGAGAAATTCCTTACCCTTCAGGTGGTGATAGTTCTGATTCAGGTGATGTGGATAGATTCTAAGCTTTGTCTTGTGATTTTATTTTTTTCCTGTATTTTAAATTTGTATTGTTAAAAGATCTTCCTTAAATCCATGAAATTGTTTTATCTATATTCCTCAGTCAAATATTTCTGCTAATAAAACGAATGTGTTTCTAAAATACGTATTTTAAAAAGTCCTCTATGCAGACATGTGTCCAAGTCACTTTGCTTGCCCTTCAAGTTGGCTGGATGCACAAAAGCAGCATAATATTAAAAATTAATGAGAGCACAGAACAGACATAGGAAACCTGACAAGTAACAATAAACCTCGTCGCTTAACATGCAGTCTTCCTCCTCAAAACTAATCCGCGTGCCAAGCTCCAGCTATGTGCAAGACTATTGTGGGTTATTTTGTTACAAAGCCCTGAAGCTGTAGCTTGACCAGCTTTTTTGAAAACCGGTATTGTTGCTGAAAAGAGGAGTCCCACTCTCTGGCTCATTGTTGGTTTCCTCTCTCAGTGCTGGTTTTAGCACCTGCCCTGCCTTGTCCTCCACAGTCTTTCTGTCTGGTTCTTCTCCTGGGGTGGTTCTTGCAGTGGGTCTGTGGGTGAACCAACTGTGTGGGGCAGGGAGTGGTGGTGAGCAGAAAAATAGCCCAAGGAAGACTTTTTTTCTTACACTTATTCCGTTGATCTTGTTGGCCCTCACATACTGCATGGTTTCCAGTGCTGCCCTATGCTTCAAGCCGGGATGGGAATGTGTAGCTCAGAAGCATTAAGCCAGGCACGTGGCTCAAAACACGTGAATGAGTTTAGCGTGGTGGTAATTCAGCGTTCTGAGAAGTATCCCCTTTTTGATTATTAAGGGCAGGTATCGATATCTGAAGACGGGGATGGGAACACAATTTCTAATAATTCTGCTCATATGCGTGTAGGAGTGCCCAGCTGCAAGGAACATCTAAGGACTGGCAAGTCTCAGGTGAAGGTCTTCTACTAGCACAGATCAGCATGATGTGGGTCTGTTTGCTGAGGACCTGTTAGCTACTTGAAGCATATTAAGATAGTAATGGTCACACTGGTGGAGGTAACTCCCTCCCTGGTTTGCTCACCCTGAGGAGCTACCAGGGTAGTCTTGGTTTTAATGCTTGTGTTCTGCAGCTGCTGTTGGACATCCTGAACTAGGTCACGCTATATCCAGGAACCTGGTTGCTTTGCAGTGAAGTTTGGAGAGTATGTGAATGCTTTTTGTCCCTGAACAAGATAATCTGCTTTATGGTCTTAGTCCAGAACTAAACACCGACTGCCTCTGAAATCTTCTGTGTAGCTGCCAGGGCCTCTCAGAACACATTCTGTGGAACAGTAACCCCAACCACCACCCTAGCAGGGGGAAGAGGTGGTTGTGGCAGAAAGAAGGTGAATTTCCTAGGTAGGGAGGGAACCTACCCATGAAAAGGAAATTTTAGGGGAAAGCTCAGAGTAGCTAATTTTCTCCTTGGAAAGGAAGTCACTTCATTTGCTTGTACTGAGAAATTGTTAAATTTTTTTAATTTTCAACTTCTTAAGCTTACTTGCACCATAAATTGTAAAGGACAAGAAATGTGTCTTTTTCTTTTGATAATGTGTTTATAGAAAATCATCTGTGTGATAGAGACTATACAAATCACAGTAGGTATCAAATGATTTATTTTGAAGGATCTGTAACTTACACTTCATCATTAGTGGTGAATTAATTCAACATTAATTTTCAGCCTTGCATTTCATGCTATTAGGAAGTGTCCTTACCATTGTTTGCTTGTACCTTGTAGGTCAGACACAGGACTTCGGACCAGGTGATGGCTTTGAAGATGAACACACTGAACAGCAACAGAGCGAACATGCTGAAAGAGGTTCAGCTTATGAACAGGCTCTCACATCCAAACATCTTAAGGTATGCCATTGGGTGGATTATATGGAGATAGGTTGTCTTTAGTAGAGTTTTTTTTTGTTGTTGTTTTTGTTGATATAGAAGAAGAAAGAAAGGATTTAAGCAAATTGAAAATTTACATGCTTTTGACATCTTAAATTTACCAGTGATGAGTAATTTTCTTGAGAGAAAAGAAAAAAAAAGTTTGTGTTAAAATTTTATGATAGTTCAATAAAATGATATGAAGAGTAAAAATTTTTCTTGTATTTATGAACTTAAATTATTGCAAATTTACTATTATTGAAATAATTAGTTGTTAAGACGCCTACAAACTAGCTATGCAAAGTGCCATGACTTCCTCATATTTTTAAGCTTGTCTTCTGGTTTTGAGCATTTCCTTGCTGTAGTATTGCCAGGTAGAATAAGAGGAAGTGAAGAAGCTAGAGTCAAATCCATCTTACCTATCTAATCTTGATAATAAAAAAGGTAATTCTTGTTTTGCAGCAGTTTACTGATTGCAAACCCAGAATATTTCAGTGACTATCTTATTGTTATCGTTCAAATCCTTTTAGTCTCAGCTGCTCTCTTGGTGTGACAAGCAATTAATGTAGCAAGCTAATACCATAATGTTGAGATACTTAACATTATGGTGACGGTCTTCGCTGGTGACAGTGTCCCAAATAACCTGTTCTCTTAAACTGTGGTTGCTGGGATTAATTTTGGTAGCCTCTGGAGCTCCTTCTTAAAAGTTTTGGAGATGCAGGAAACTTTAAATAACAGACTGGTGAGGAGAGAGAATTAGTTGAGTAGTTCCTACTCCTGGGAGACCTTCATAAGTAACTTTTCTAATACTTGAAATCCTGCCTCCCTCCTGATCAACTGATGTGTGACAATATTGCCTTGTTTTTCCCAAGTACTTATGAGGAGCTGTAGCAGAATCACCTGAATTGTCTGCCAGGATTATTCTGACAGTGCATGTTTATTTTCTTTTTTTTTCCGTAATAGAAAAGAACAATAATAAAGCTAAAAAGTTAGAGAACTTCTGCTCACAGTAAAGGCTGTGATTAAAGCCTTATGAATAGGCTCTGTGTATTCAAGTGTTGAAGTAATCTGTTGCTAATAAAATCCTAGGTCTGTTTTCTCTGTTCGGAGATGAGGTTAATTTCCAACAATTCCTCTTGTTCTTCATTTTTTTTTTCTTTTTCTTAATGATGTCAGATACTTGGCTTTCAGGTTCAATGACTTCTTTTTATATCTGCATGTCACTTCCTTTCCCTCAGAATCCTTATATGTGCAGTATATGATCCTGGGGACTGATACAGCTGTTTTTTCATAAGCTTTATGGAAAGTATAACTTCATAGTTTTGACACTGCCAGAGTCAGGAAGTTCATGTATTTCAACAGTTTCTGTATTAACTTTGTGTGGTTTGCACATATTTATTAAAATATGTGTGTGTGTATATGTGTGTGTGTGTGTGCGTATACATATATATATATATATGTATCTACAGCTCTGTTGAGAATAAAGTCTTTAATTGGGATTGGGATGAGGGAAAGTAGGAAAGGGATAGTTTGAAAATAAAAAGCATTCAGCTGCAGCGTTATCTACCTGTCTCCCTTGAATGGTGTTACAGAGGTGCTGCTGTGCTCTTCTCTAAGTAGTCACTGAATTTGAATTTGTCTTACTATGCACAAGAAATCATATCCATGATATACTGGTTCCCTCTGGCCTTAAAGCCTGTGAATAATTTGAAGTCAGTGGTACTGCACAGATAGTGCTAAATAAAGAACAATAATGTATTCATTTATGCATGAACAAGAAGAATTCCATTTGGTTTCCCAGTTCCAACGCATGATTCATACGGAAATATTTTTCCCCCCCCCTGTATCTTCCAATAATCAACTATGAGTGAATATATAAGAAATAGATTTCCAATACAAAGGAATCATCTTCCCATAATTGTCACTGGCTTTGGAAAGTAATTTGAGATTTTTTCAAGGAGGCTTTATTTGCATTTAAACTAACTTTTAAACTTAAACTAAATTTATTTTTCACGTAAGTTCACCTAATGTAGTGTTTTTAATCTGTTTATGTTGTTTGGGAGAAGACTGTTCTCCTCTAAATTATTTTTCTATAGACATTTTGCTCTCTGCTTTTATATGTACGTGTATATTTATATGCACACACATGTATGTGCACATGCACACAGAAACATATAAATCATTGTTGCTAATGATGATGTTTTAAGATTGACTTAGGACCTGTTCACCACTTTAAAAACAAACTTCAAATGTAAATTTAATACTTAAAGCAAAAATAAATATTAAAGCAAATGCTTTTATAGTGGTGAGAGGTTAAAATATGGCTTAAGAACAGATTAAGAGCAGTCAGGAGCAGTATTGCTGAGAGGTCACTAGGAAAATGTTCTGCAAAGCATGTTTTAAGTGAAACATTTTGGGGATTTTTAAGCTTTTTTTAAAGTTTTTTTCACTGTTTTACTGAGGAGACTGTTCTGCGGGCAGCATCAAGTCAGCTTTTTTTTCATTGATTAGTCATTGGGCCTCTTCCACTTGCCTGGAACATGAATAGTGGTTTTATATAATGTTATCAGAGATTCTTCGTCTTTTTTAAGCTCTAGGGCTAGCTGCCGTTTATTTCTGTTATAAACAGCGACTTTTCTTTAGTGCTGGTATGTGGTTTGCCAGGACGGCTGCTGGTGGCTTCTGAGGGTGGATCTCAACTTTTCAGCCTGTGCAGTGGGTAATTGCAGCAGGCAGAGTGCTGGGAAGGTTTCACTCCTCTGAAATGGCTTCATAGCGTTTTGAAAGTGGAGCAATACTGCTTTATGGCATCCAAAATGGATTTTCAACTTAGTTCAACATTTCCTGTTGTGTTAATTAGTTAATATTGTAGAACATAACTATCAGATTCAGCCATGATGTAGTATTTTAGTATACTACACTGTGTGCTAGTTTACTACATGTATTTTAGTATACTAAAATTTTCTTGATCTCTTTTGAGTCCAGTTACATTTTTGAACATCCTCAGTGATGTTTTTAGTACCTGAAATTAGTCACCCAACCAGTTCCTTTGCTCTACAACTCTTTCCTGGTTTATGGGGAGTAAGTCATGTGGAAGAGAAGAGATTATCCTCATAACGTTGGTAGCCAAAGATCATCATTATTATCTGTTGGATGATACAAAAACCAAACCAAACCAAGGCCAAAATCCAGTGCTCCGAAATGCCCAGAGCAGTTTCTTAAGTTATTCATTCCAATTTGCCCACAGTTAATTTAAAGCTTTTATTGCTTTTTTCTTTTTTACTATTATTTTTTCTGATATTAATAATACTGTTGCTTATTTGAAACTTCTTTTGCTTGTATGCTTTCCATATCAGATTATTTTTACAGTTAAAGATGTCTTTTCAGTTTTCTCTCCCAACCTACCACTACCTACATGTTTGGAGTCTGAGTTTGTCACTACTTGCTGGCTTTCTTCCATGTCTTAGCTCTATAGGATTTACCCTGAGCTAGGTCCTAGACACCCTTCTCCTTCTTCAGGAGATGGATGTGTGCTAAGACTTCCAATATGTTTGCTTGTAGTAATCTGTGAACTATCAATCTAATTATTTTAGTCTCCAAGAATAGTTTCTTGCTGAGTATGGAACGAAGGACTAGCTTGAGTCTTCAGTTTTATGTATCCCCATTCTCACTTCATTGTTTCTGTGCTCGCATTCTGTTCTTGGCCAGTCATGTAGATCATCTTAGAAGACAGTGAAGAACTTAGTGAAGACTTGGTAAGTCTTCACTAAGTCTACTATCCCCACAGAGATTCTTATGGACAAATATCTGTATAAAAGAATATTTTCCAGTGTATTTTCACCAAGAAAGTGAGACGCTGTTCTCCACTACTTGAGGGATTATTTCAGCAAGAATGGAACCTCTTGGTCAGTCTGTTAAGGATGTTTTGGAATAAGGGAAGACTTGAGGTCTTGCAGCTGTATTGGCATGGTGGTAAAAAGTAAGCGGATTTAGGATTTGATCCTTGTTTTCCTCCTTCCTGCTTCCATTTACTATTAGCAGATGTGATTCTGTATGCCAGAACTTTGGGGAGAGAAGGAAAGGAGAAGATTAGGGACACTTGGGAAGTGGATAGGGCAAAAGGATAATAGTGTTTGTGTGCTTTTCTGTATTTCCACCATTACCCATCTCACATTTCTACCTCACCCCCACAAGCTAGAGGACTTAAATGCATTTCTGCCCCCGATTTATGCTGCTGCTTCCCTGATGTGGGAAGTATTGCTTTCTGGCAGCCTGGTTTATCCCACCTTTTCTTTTCAGAGTAATGGTAAAAAGCAAGATGGATTCTTCAAATATGGTAAAAACAAAAATAAGATAATTGAGCTGGGGATCTGGTTTATGCCAAGGGAAACTTATACAGCTGCTCTCATCTGTGGTGGAATAAAACTATCATAGCTGGGATTAGAGGGAAGCAGAAGTTTGGAGCATTTCTTTCCTTCCTTATCAGCTTGAGTACTAGACTATACTAATGAATTAGACCTCATACAAGGGCTATTAAAGGCCTAGTTTGTGTTTTCCAGCTCCTCTGCTGGAGGAGCTCCCTGCTCTTCTGAATGCTGATGTGCCCCCAAAACATAGTTATGTTTTAACCCATAGTTATATTCAAAACAGAAGAAAATAGAGCTGGAAGGGACTTGAGACCCATCTCTGTGTCTGGTAGCAGTAAGTCCACACAAAGATCTGATCCCTTCTTGTTCTCGTCATGTCCTACAGGTGTGTTTTCCTCATTTACACAAACGAAGGGCTGTGCTAAACCAGATACTTCAGTTCCAGGGCCGTCTCTTGGAGTAATGTATCTTCAATTCTGAGATAGAATTTCAGTCTTCAATATCACTACTGTTTGCATGAAAAATACTTCTCTATTTAATCCGTACCTTAGGGACTTCATTTAAAACGTTCTGTACACAGAGAGCCTTAGCTCATGTCTTAAGTGCTGTCTTGGGAGTACTTGGAGATATTGCTGCGTGTTTGGCAGTGAGTGTGCAGGCAGATTGGCTCGGTGATTAAACCTACCTCCTGTGCACATAAGAAAAAATAAAAACAAAATATAAAGGCAGAGTGCATATTACATGAACTGCTTTCAAAGAGTTTTCTTTCATCTGCTTTCAGACAAATGCATCTCCCTAGGAATACAATAGCAATCTGTTTTCTTTTGTGTCAGCTTTCTCCTGCCATCCCCCCTCACTCTTTGCTGAAATTACTTGATTTTGTTGCAACGGGCGAAATGATGACTTGTCTCAGCATCCTGCGTGTTGGGCTGAACAGTGGCTTCGCAGAAAGGAAAAATATTTTAGTTAGCTTTCTCTCCATGTGATCCAGTTACCAAAAAGGATTGTTGGAGAAATTGTGCACAAAAAATAGAAGAGAGGCTCTGTGTGTTGTGCATAATATATTATTAGAGAGACTGTATAAAATACCTTACCTCTGGACTGCAGTATGTCTTTGGAATCAAAATGCAAATGTAGAAAACTTAAAATACACTTTTAATTTAGCACTGTGTCTAAAACATTAAGGAAGCTTTTAATGCAGGTTTAATGTTCTTACCCTTTTCCTTCTCCATTAATAATGCAATGGTAAAAGCATCTGTCTTTTGACTTTTGAGTCTATGTTACTAAATGCATTTGAGAGACTCTCATTTTGGCGTATTTGATTTGTTTCCTATTTTTAATGTGTTACCACCACATGCCTGAATTTCCTTCATATAAGCAGCAGATTTGAGGGGGGTACCGATTTATTACATTGTGCTGTAGCTACCCTGGGTTTAGCTGCAGAACAGGAATTTGTCCAGTCCCAGTGAAGTTCCTTTAATGGGAAGCATGTGTTTAATGTCTGGGTGACCCACAGTGGCTGTGTAATCTGGATATTAGTTTTGTCTGATTTATCAAGGAGGCTGAGAGTGGGGACTGAGGTTCCCCCTTCCTTCCAGAATTCTTTCTCTCCTGTGGCCTGACACAAGGGAAGGCACTTTGAGTAACAGCATGAAAGGAGCAGCAACTTGAGAGCACTTTGCTTCACTCTTCTCCAGGAAGGCAGGTACTGCAGATGGTGCAAAGAATAACTGGCCTGTCAGAAACGGGGCCTTTTGACATCATCTGAGCATTGCTGATATTTGTCAGAAAGTATTTTGTGGTGGAAATGTTCAGCATTATCCCAGTAGGCTGGACTCGAATAGCATCCTCTTTGCCATAGACTCCTTCTGCAGCTTCTGGGGAAACTTCTCCAACCACTAGTAATGGCTTTGGGAACGGTTCAGCTTTCCTGATAAGGTCAGATACTTCCTTAAGTCCCTTCATGTCTCCTATGCTGCTCATTGAAGCCCCTCCAACTAGAAATGCCTGTAGGAAGTGTAACCCTTGGCTGACAAGGCTTTGTGCTGGAGTTCACCTAGAAGCACATCTTGGCTCTGGAGCCAGAGCGTCTGGCCAAGAGGAATAATCCTAAATGCCCTGGAGCAGCATGTCCGCTTCCTGCGCACGGAACCGGAATCTCATGTGGGGCAAGCTCCGACATGGAATCGCTGGGCCAAATCTCACTGGGTAATTGTATTTCCTGGTAGCAGCTGTATATTATCTTGTGGTGAAGACACTTTCCAGTATTGTGTTCTAGCAGCCCTTGGTTTTACCTGCGGGTTGCTTAGTGCTTGATATAGCAGCTAGGAAGTTTTCCAGGAACTTGGGTCACTGGAGATGTGTTCCATGAATCTGTTTTCCAGAGCTTGAAAACTGAGATTCTTGACACAATATTTAAATGGTTTCAGCATGTTGCTTGTAACTCATTAATACTGTCTTTATCAGTGTATCTGGTTTCCCTTTCCCAGGGTAATAACTTCTAAATGCGTGGGTTTCATGAATATATTTTTAGGTCCTGATTTTTTTAAGAAATCACAATATTGGCTCACAAAATCCTTGTTTTAATTTCTTATTTAAAGTTAAAAATATATGGCTCTTTTCCAATAATAAACCTAGATGCTTAAGAATTTTAAACTCTCACTTGGGGAAACTTGAGTCTGTGTGTCTTTTCTGCCTTAAGTGCAGCTTCATGAGGCTGGTAAAAATGTTTCCAGTGGGACTTCCTTTGAACAAAACAGACTGGCAAAAAAAGCTAAGTTCTACACATCTTTTGGTGACAGTGATGTCTTTCCTTTTAATTTTTCTCGATGAAGGGAAGGTCATCCCTGAAGGGAGCTGTGTGTTGGTCAGGCAGGTCTGTACTCAAAAAAAAAAAAAAAAAAAAAAAAAAAAAAAAAAAAAAAAAAAAAAAAAAAAAAAAAAAAAAATCACCCCTTCAATCTGAAATTTCAGCTGACCAGATGCAGTTTGGCTTAACATCCTACGTAAGGAAGGTTTACTGTAATTCAGATATTTGTTAGCTGGGTTGTTACTGTGATGTAATGCCTCTTTACTAGAGGAAGTGTGCTATACAGATGAAAAACTATTTGTATTTATTAGCCTTAGTTTCTAGTTGAATAAAAATATTGCAGTATTGGGTTAACTTTGTATAATCGGTAGGATTTGTAAGGTGAAAATGTTATTTTCACCACTTCAAAACTTGTGTAACAGTAGAACTGGAAATAAAATTTATTTATTTTTTTTGCTTGTGAATAGCTAGTTACACTGTTCTTTACAGTTAGAGATTGTGCAAAAAGAAAAAAAAATCTGCTTTGGAGGAGTTGCCTTTTCTTAGTTTTAGGAGACTTAATTTGCAAACTTGTTTACAAAATTATTTAAAGGCAGTTGCTTTACAGAACGAAGCTTGGAAGCAGCATATTCTGTGTAGGTGGCATAGCCAAAAATATCGCTTTTCCCCCCACAAAGCACCTTGTAGGGCTGCCTTGTTCTGCACTGACTACTGTATTTGCACCATCTCTTCCATGAAGACGAACATATAGGATTGGGAGAAACTATTATTTGAGGTGAGAGCACACAACAGAGTTAAAGTCCAAGTCCTGCTTCTTTTTTGGTAATTTAAAAAAACCCCACAGCTCAGCTTATGCAAAGGACATTACTATTATTACTTTGCTAGGGCTGCTTGTAATTTACCAGTCAGCTGTTAGCCAGGAGAACAGTGAGGATCATTCATTGCTTCAAAAACAGCTTAGCTTAACTAGTACTACGTGTCTCTGGCATACTTTTGTTTCTAAATTCAGAAGTGTTTGAAAATATAAAAGGTTCTTGCCTTCAAATGGATCTCTGCAAGATTGGCCTGTCACATTTAATGAAATCAAGCATTTCTACCCCTTGGTTGCAAATTGGAAATTTATGGACATTGTGGAAATGACGGATATATTTTTGTCTATTGAGACTAAAATCTCAGTGATGCAATGAAAAATAGTTAACCTAAAAGCAACCAATGCTTTAACTGTGCAGGGAGGAGCTACGAAGGCTTTGTGGTGTCTATAGATTAAGTTTTATTGAACTTTTTTTACTTTTTACTTACTGTCTACTCTTAATATTCACATTTTGTCATGTAGGAGTTCAACTTGTATGACAGAGATGCACTTTCAATTATTCTCTTATGTATTGTGCTTTTTTGTCACTATAGAGCAATTTAAGGCTGGCAGTCATTATTAACAGTGATTTAATAGTCAATATTAACAGCAGGAATCTGAGCATCATGCAGTGTGGGTAACTTCTGTGGAATCTATGAATATAGGATGCTCTAAAAATTTGCTCCTATCTAAATGTTGAACATGTTGATGTGGAGAAGGGAAGGATACATGCTGCACATATATACCCTCCTATGGTTAGGAATGGGACAAGAAGAAACATCCTTACACTGAGTAAACAGAATGCAGAATGGAAGGAATTTGCTATTTATGCAAACATGCAAACCAACCAACACTGAATTATTTGTTTAGATATCTTGAACCAGAGAGAACTCTCAGAATCTCCCTTTTTGCATAAATCATTATATTCTGGCCTTTGATTATAATCAAATTAGTAACTCCCTCTTCACTGTGAGTTGTGACCTGTGCTCTTCAACGGCTAATTCAAAATGTGCTGTTGTGTACGCACGGGATTGTTTTATGGTGAGACTTTTAAAATAATAAAGCTTGAGCTATGCACTATCTCTGAGTCCAGGTTTTCTTTTTTCTTTTTTTCCCTTCCTTTCTTGGCACAGTCAGTACTTTTTATTATCCTACAATTTCATTATTTAAAAATAGTAAAGAAAAAAGAGGGGGAGGAAAAAAAAGCCCAAACCATTTTTCTTTTCTTGTTTCTCATAGGTTTATGGGTGTCTGTGTGCATCAAGGACAGCTGCACGCACTTACTGAGGTAAGATTATTTCATGATATACTGCTCAATATGAAGCTGTTCTTGGGACAGATTCTGTAATTGTTGTTCCTCTTGAGTGGTAGTTTTTGGGTTTTATAGTGACATGTCACTTGATCATAAGCGTTTCTGTTGCTCTGCAATAGAAAGACTGAAGAATCAGGCCTCAGAATTGTATGTCAGTCATAGACTTTGTACTACTTTTCTTCTCATAAACACTTATTAGGATGAAAAAAAAACACAGAACCTAAAATTCTCACATTCTAAATGAGATGTAAATTACGATTAAGCTGTGCCTAACTGGTATTCTTTCAGTGACATTACACTGTATTTAAATCTTAGTCATTTACCTTACCTTTATACTGAGTGCATGCACATTTCACAGATGAATCAAGAATATTTTGCTTAAGTGATATTAGTGTCCTTACCATCTCCTTCTTTAGGATATTACCAAGATTAAAGTTTAATCAGGGTTCCAGAAAGAAATTACTGCACTGACCGTACACCCTGGCTAGGATCTAGGTAGCAAATGAGAAACTAGGCTTTCAGCTCATGTGAGTCTTACACGAAGTTTCACTGGATTGTGTTTAATCCATTCTAAACTGCTCATGAAAAAGAGAGGGAAAAAAAAAAGAGAAAAAAAAAGGAGTGTTTCTTCATTAATAGTCTTGTTTTCAGTCAAAATCAAAAAATTGTTCATTCTGCTTTGTGCAGATTGAGGGGAACCCTTTTGTTCTGTAAACTTAAAATATTTCTGACAATTTCTATCTCGTAGAACCACACAATTACACAATTAAAAGATCAGCCCTTCTCCTCTGTGCCCTGCCCCCTTGCAAAAAAACAAAGAAAACCCACAAGTGGTAGCATGTATTTTACTAAGTAGCAATTAAAACAGGTTCCTGGCATGCATGCCAATAACTATTACATAATGAGAAGATTTGATGTAGACCAAGCGTTTAATTTTCAGGATGCTGTGTCACCATTTTCGTATATAATTTTCATATGCAACTCTGCGACTCCGGTGTTCATGTGGCAGTGAATTTATTTGCTTTTTGGGCAGACAGTTCTGCATTTGCAATTCTAGCAAATATTTGTAAGATTCAGCCTATGTGGGAGAACGAGTCCTTCAGGCAGGCTCTGCTAACAGTGCCTTTTATATTTCTTGATCCAATGATCAATTAAAACAGGGAGGTTAAAGGCCCTCTTAGTCACTAAAGGTGTCCTAGAAGAGATGAAGCTTCAACATGTTTCAGTTTAGAAATCTTGGCATATCTTCCTCATAGTGTGCAGTTTTCCTCCTCTTCCCAGTTGCTTGCCGTTTAAACATCCCTCCCTACCCAGAAACTCAAGGAACTGAAACCTTCTCCCAGATGCTTCCTCACAGAGAAGTAAATTTGCTGCCTGTTTTCTTAGCTATTTTGGAGTTCTTGGCAAGCAGAATCTATGAAAGACTTCAAAGACTAACTTCTCATAGTTGAAAACTACACAAAGTATTCCAGAAATCTTGACATCAAAGAAGTTTTATACTACAGAAAGTCACTACAAGCATTTGAGAAAGAGAATGACTTAGTGGCATGTTATAAAAGTGCATGTCTGGTTTATGATCGTCTTGTGTGGACCAAGATAAACATCTGATGCCTTCAACAGGGGGAAGAACTACTACTTAGGTCCATCCTATATAGCTTCTGTAGGGAATCTACACGCTGTTTGTATAATGTAGTAGCTGTTCTTTGTTTTCACAGAGCTTTTAAAATGTTAAGAGCTGCTTATGTTCCAGGGGTGGAATTAGTTGTATTTCCTGCCAGCAGTGGCATTTGAGCTAAGTGAACAGTGAAAGTTGTTGAGTTCAGATGACCTCTGGAGCTTAGAGAAGGAGGCCAAAATGGCTGGCTGAAGGAATTACTGGTAAGATGTATGTGGTGAGTCACCCGTTCAAATATAGCCCAGGAGGATAAGCAAAATTAGCTTATGGCTTTTTTCAGCTTGTGGTCCAAAGAGGTGGTCTCCTCCTAGTTCCTGCTGAGCGTGTCCCTGCTCCGCACGAAGAGCTCTCCCGGGCCTCCTGCCAGGGTTTCACTTGTTCAGAGAACCAACTTGACTCTTTCCAAGGCCAGTTGCTCAATAGGCCTCTGAGTCATTGCAAGGAGAAACCTTCCTTGCTCTGGCCTGTGCTGGACCTGTTTTGAAAGGTGTCTAAGTATGACTTGTTGGCATGGGCTGTGCATAGTAAGAAAGTAAGCTCTGCTTAGGCTGAGAGCAGTTGATGGTATCGCTAAGCAAAAGGGTTAGGACTTAACTACTGGCTGAGGGGGTGTGGGTAAGTCATGTTTATTTGTATGTATATGTTTCCATGGCATAAGAAAGAGGCAGTTAGAAGTGCTGCATTTTTTTTCTCCTTACCTATTTAAGCATGTGGGAGGCCAAGTGTGCTCAAACACGCAGAGCAGGTTTTTCACTCGAAAATGTTACTAGTTTGTAGGCCTTGTTTTTTTTTTCCCTTTTTGGCAGCATTTTATGTTTTAGTTGTTCTCTAAGTGGCTTTTGTTTTTAGTCAAGAAGCAGTTTGTTTTGGTTTGGTTTTTTAAAAAGGAAGAATGGAATTTTTTTAATTAGGCTGTACCAGGACTTTGGCCATGTTCTGAATCCAGAGTTTGAAAGTCCAGAATCATTTTTGAAGTTCTCCTACCAGCAGCTACAACACCACAACTTTACACTGCTTCAGTATCTGTCCTGAGAGTCACAGGATGGTTTAGGCTGGAAGGCACCTCTGTCCTTGTGAGCATGTAGCTAAGAAACATTGAGGGGAAGTGAAGCAGATTTTCTAATAGGTGCACAGCTCACATGAGCTGTGGGCTTTAGACCACCTTACCAATGCTGGTGGGCACAGATTTGCTGCGCTCACCTTCTGTAAAGCCAGGAACTGTGTGTTCCTTTCTTGGTATTCAGCTCTGATCTGCAGGCTTCACTCTGTGACTTGATTCTGTAGCTACGTGAGTCTGCAGTGCTGCCTGATGTTGTGGGCCTCTCCAAGCCTCTCCAGTTGCTACAAATCTCCTGATTTCCGACTGCTTTCCTGACAGCTCTCTGTTAGCTTCTGTTATCATTAGTAAACATTTTACTAAAGCATGTTTCCATTCCTTCCCTCTTTTTTTTTTCCTCCTCTCTGCTCTTATGTATCCACCTGTGCAGAGCTTTTGGCCTGAAATGGGGAAAACAAGGTAGACATTGCTTAAGTCTCTTATCCCAAACCTTTACATTGCATCAAAGAACAGTTGTGCCTTTCCTTCCAGAAGGCAGTTGTGCAATTCTGAGAACTGGAAAAAGTTCAGGAACACTCTCTTTTCCCTGTCCCTTTCCTGCTGTTGCCAACAGCACATGGGAATCCCTATTGCCACTCCATGATACTGTTTGAATAAACTTAGTGTTACTCTAGTAGCACTGCAAATATTTAAGTCAGTTTTGGTAATCACACAGGCTGGCCTCTTAACCCTAGATAACTTATTGTCTTTAGTACCATAGTTGCTATTACCTGTCATTCCACAAACATTCCCTGCCTGTACTGGGAGTGATTCCTTGCCAGTGGTACCACTTTCCAGCTTAGGGGGAGTTCCTTGATAAGGTGGCTCTGGCAGTGGTCCCCAAAAGAGAGAACAGCTGTAGTGCCAAGTTGGTTAGCTTCAACGTTATGGTTACTGAAAATGAAAATTATAGAAAAGGTGGCAGAGTAGGAAATTAAAAGAAATAAAGGGACTCTAAACTTCGTGCTTTTAGATATAGTGGTTTTTGTTGCACACTACCATCACATTTCTAGCAAAAACAGATATAAGATGAATTAATTTTCAGACTTCTTCCCCCTCCATACCAGGGTATAATGTGATTATTTCTTTCAAAAACTTTGTACCTAAGATGTGAAAGTTGCTGTTGCTTCACCAAAAGCACTTCTGTTTTGGTGAATCTTTTCAGTTTGGAAGTCTTTGCTTTGAAAGGTCCAAGTGCATAGGACAGAGACCTCTACATGTATTGTTGCATATATTCCATGCAGTTATCTTTAGTAACTGCCAAATCCATTTGAGATGGAGGAATTTGATATTGGCAGGTGTTCTTTGCAAATAATGGACAGATTTTTGTTACTTCCTACATGCAACTCATTTTTTTCATTGCTGAGCATGTGTATGGCCAAGCCATATGGATAAAAGCTTCCAGATCAGCTTGTATTCCTCAACATAGTGTGCTTTTCATTAGCCAAAAAAGGCTTCATTTTCTATCATGACATATTGAAATCCTTCTTGAAATGTAGGCACTTTCTCAGAGTAGCATTTTAAAAAAGAAAACTCCAGACAATGAACAAATGAAAAAAAATGGAGTGGGATGTTTTAATCCTTTCTCTCCCTTCAGATTTTGTCCAAAAATTAGTTCATCTCATTTGCATACATAAAACAACTTTCTTGAGAACAGTGAGGGCCTTGGGCAGAATGACAGACTGTTAGCTCTACGGTGTCGTGGGTCCTCTGTGATCTTTTAGAGGAATGAAATGAGCAACTGTACAAATTTGATTTTAGATTTTTTTTGCTGGCTGTTCTGAGAAGAAATCTGTCTGTCCTAAACATGTTTGTTTTAAAGGACTGAGTCCTGGTATGGAGCAATGCAAGAAGATTGAATCCCCTTTGAAACAGCTTTGACAAATGGATTTAGTCTACTGTGATGTCAGATTTCAGGCAACCTAAATTTTTCAATGCCTCGAAGCTGTAGGATGCAGCGCAAGAACTGCTGTTTAAACTTTGTAAGAACTTTAAGTATGTGAAAATTCTGCAGATTAAATTGATCCCTATGATCTTTGAGCTGCTGAATAGCATGGCCTGTGGATTAATACTGTAATAAATCTCGGCTTGTATGCCTTATTCTTCTTGCCTCCCCCAACTTTGGATTTTTTTCATAGTGTTCTGTATAGCCAAAAATTAATCTAATGTGCTTCCCTCTGAGGAGGAAAATAAGGAGTTCTTACA